CTGGAACTAAGATCCAGAACAAATAAAGTCAATAGAGCTCTCCATTTTAAACACACAAAATATACATTATCCACAAAATCTAACGATATATCTAAAGGTATACAAAGACTCAAAACAAGGGGATAGAAAAAAACTCACCAACCAAATGGAGAGCAAAAATAAATAAATAAAAAGCAGGAGTTGCAATTCTCCCACTTAATAAAATAGATTTCAAAGCTACAAGGATGCAAGGGTAAAAGGATTAATGTAACAATAAGAGATCTTAACACCCAGATACATAAGACACATAATGAGATTTAGATTCAACGAGACAACAAATTGATAACGATATCCAGGACTTGAACTCAGAGCCAGAACAAATAAACACAATAGAGGTCTTCATTTTAAACACATAAAATATGCATTAACCACTTTAAACACTCAAAATATTGATCGGCCATTATTGAAACTCATTTTAGGAATGAAGTAATATTCCGTTTTCCCTCTTTTTCTTTTTTTCCCCTTCTTTTTCCCTCTAAAAAAAAAAAAAAAAAAAAAAAGATGTTTCCCTCCAAGTGAGATTATTTCCTCTTAGTCAAGTGCTATTCGGAGTATTCACAAAACAATGCCAGAAGCCTCCAGATATCATTACAAAACAATTTATCTTCAAGGTGTACATCATTTATTCATACATATATTTTTTCAAAGAAAAGCTATGTACTAAAATGAGTGCCCAATTTACTAAAAATATTTAAAAACGTCTTTTCCTTCACCTGTGTCCTCTTAGCAAGCCTTTATTCACTTCTTGGTGTCATTTTCACACACACTTAATAGGAGCCGTTTCTGAACTTCTCCAGCCTCCACAAGCTCCCCATAGAAAACTGCTTCTCTAGATGATTTCCTTTTCTTTGAAATGGAGGCCATATGAGGCAATCTCCGCCTATACATTTACCCCTCTTTTCTTCCTTCCAGATCTGGGAAACAAAAAAGGACACCTCCACTCATGTTCTGATCCCATCCACCCTTGACTTTTATGGGAATCGAGACCTGACCCCACTCTCCATCTTAAATGCCCCAGCTCTAGGGTCTCTTATCAGTCAATCATGAAGGGTGGGTTTACAAAGGGACCTTAAGGGTTCACAGTTTTTATCAGATTTTCAAAGGTTTCCATAGCAACAACACAGGGAAGAACAACACAGGGAACAACCTCATCACCCCTCCCTCACAGCCCAGGTCACACTTTCCCTCCCACCCCCTCCCACAGCCTTACCAGCAGCCTGCCAATTGAGAGTTTAGGGTGAGAAGAAGAGTGGGTCCTTACCACAAAACAGGCTCTGACGTCTCTTCTGTCGCTGCACGTGGCTTTCCCTGGCTAGAACGTATCTGTACTAGAGAGTTCTGCTGGACTCTGGGCCTCATCTTAGAGCTGGCCCCTGCAAATCCTCAATATTGAATCAAGAAAGCTCCCTGCCTGGCGTGGGGATGCGGGAGCTGGGGAAGAAGGTGGCGGTGAGGGCCTTGAGGTAAGGAAGTTATGGATGCAGCCAGGGTCCATTACAGCTGGGAGCACTAAAGAGGCAAAGAGGAGAGAGGCGAGCTCCGTGGAGCAGTCTGGTTTCAATACCAACAGAAACCACAGCCAGGTGTTCCTGCCTTCCTCACCCTTCCTACAAGGACCAGGTGTGACGTGTTGGGATTCATTCCATGCTTTTGGCTGGAGGCAGAGAAGCTGCCTCATTTACTGAGGCCTTTCTATTGTCAGCGCTTTCTCGCTGGTCTTCTGCTCAAGTGATCTTTGGATTTCCTGATTCCTGGCTATTGCCTTGTACCATTGGTGGCCCATCTTATTCAACTTCCTTATATTTGTGTCCTCTTGGTCTGTGATCATCAAAGTCAAAATTCAGACAACAGTGGGGTAGACAAGTATTCACTGGACATGGCTCAGGGCTCTAGAAAAAACTAGGAGTGAGAAGGTACCACTCAAGAGTCCTCAGGTACGAGAAAGAAAGAGATCATTAGGGATGCTAGGTAAGAAGTGGAGGATACCAGCCAAGACGAGCATGTTATCCAGAGGACTCAAATGATAGGCAGTTCAGGTGTATAATCTGCAGAAGGGAGGAGGCAAGCAGCTTCATCTCATTTGGACATCTGAACCACTGCAGGACGTAGGAAAACATTACCAACATCCATTCTACACTCTACAAATGAAGTCAAAAGCTGATGACTTCCTCAACGGCCAGGGTTACTTAAGTAGAGGAACCAATACTAGAACTGAGATTTTGTAGTGGTTCTCATAAGTTAAGCCTGTGCCAAAAGTATCTCTTTAAGCTACCCAGCTACTCAGAACTTACGGGCATCTCTCCAATAGCAAACAGATGAAGGGCTTTCAGTAAGGAGCTAATGGTGTCTTAGGCTCTAAGAGAACTTTTGCAGAAAACCCCCATTTTAAGTCTGAAAATTCTTTGGCAGCATCTTTCTAACCTCCTCCTTAGTCCTACCATGCTATTTGCATACCACTCCATCAGCATTTTCCCTGTCCCTTGACCACGTTTCTGAGACATGCGGTAGACTACAGGCAGATGGGGAACGAGCCAATCTCTTTTCATGCCCTAAGTCACTTTTTCGTCTTGCTAAGGAATAACTAACTAGTAATCACGCTATCATGAAAATGGCAAATGGAGACAATTACATGTGTTTCTACAAAAATGCCTGCTGAGGTGCATTTTATTTATCAGAACAGAGAATACCTGGGCTAGATTCTGGAACTTTCCATGACTGGCTATAGAACAAACTTATTCTATCTACCCCAAGAGCAAGAGATTCTCAGGCCAGTCACAGGAGACAATTAGAACTGTTAATAATTCTAATAATATGGCAGTTGCCTTACTGTCAGGGAATGCTTTCATGTATCTCATTTAAAATCCTTAAAGTTGCAGTTTGAGCCTGGTTCTCCCTCTTAACTTTAATGTAAGAATTGTGTGTTTACTTAAGGCAATCTTGTGATTGGAATGATTTAAATTACGAATGCTATTGGCTTCCAATACTTGAAACAACTTTGCACTTTACTTACGAATCAATCCATTGTACACATATGCCTCGTGTGTTCTAGGATCAACTCTTAGCGACTTTTTCTTCTGGAATTTTGCGATTATATTTCTGAAATGAAAGTTACTGTGCTTTCATTGTGCTCCTTTTACCTCACTATGTGGGGAAATGTGTTCTAGGAAACATTTGTGAAGAAGGAAGTAGCACAAAGAACTGCCTGAAGTTCAGCAGAAACTCCAATCCTCTCACTCTATCCTACATATACAGCAGAACACCCGAAGTGTTACTTTGAAAAACATAAAGTGTTTTTGTGGCTGCTGGGGGTGGGGAGCCCCAGAGGTGGGGGATGGGGGAGAATGGTCATAGCACAGTTTGAACTTTCAGGGATTCGGAGATGTTGGTTTCAAAATGGAATTTATCTCAAATCCCAAGATTATAGATTTCCTTCGAAACTGCATTCCCTTCATGGCTCTGAGAACAGTTAAAAGAAAGATTGCTCTCCATATTTTGATTGACATTAAAAACACTGTGAAAATAGTTTGGAACTTGATCTCTTCAAGGGAAAGACAGTAATTAAACTATAGCTTTTGCCTGCAGCTTTTCTTTCACACATACTCAGAACTGTTCCAGGGAAGGAAATTCACAGGGAATTCTGTTCTCATATATCACTTCTAGAAGGAGAGAGAGGCATTCCCGAGAAAATTATCCCCAAACTTCAAAATACAAGAAAAGGTTACTTAATGAATCGCAACCCCAAACCACCACATTCCATGGAATAAAATCAAATTGAATCAGTAGTTTGCAGCCGGTAGTCTTTAATAGACAGCACTATTAAAAAATCATCAGATTTACCCTGCTTGCCATATAGCGTCTAGTCTTCACTCAAGTTCTAGCTGTCTATGTCTGGTTTTGCCAAACACATTAGAAGGATTTTCAGTTTACAAGTCCATCTGCATAGTCCTGTTAACAGAAGGGATCTATAAATACCAAGTACTTTGTTCTCATCCACTTTTTTTGACCATGTATTGCCACTGCACTAAAATTCCCCCACCCCTTACAATCAGCTCTTTCTAAAAGGAATTCCAGCCTACTACCAACTAGCTGCCTTGTACGACTGTTTCAGACGCCCAAATATGTCTATCTCCATAGAAAAGCCTACCGCCTCCCTTTCTGAAACTTATTTCCAATCGACATCTTTTCAGATTCTCTAGACACTTTCAAACAGAAAATCAGATTTCTTAAATAATAGTTTTGTAGGACGTTAAATGTGCTTTTTCGAAATACACCCACCAGCCCATGCATTCTCTTGTTATTAGGTTTTATAGGAAACAGACTGGGATAGGCATCTTCTGTCTTAGCAAATATCAGATCAGTGTCATTAACCCTACCAGTGCTAGGTGCTAGTGATCTCTCCATCTCTGACCGTATTTCCTTACAACTCTGGAAGTCCAGTTTTAAAGACTGGCAGCAGACTATCACACAAATGCCTTTGGTTAAAAAAATCATTTCCTTTTGGCTTCTCCTCAACCTCAAGAATTGTTGCTTTTGTTTTTAAAGCAGAACCTCTTTAAATCTTTGGCAATAAAAGGATGCAGAAGAGACTGTGTGAGCAGTCTGGTGCAGTCACCTTGCTAACACTGGCCTGTGGATATCAGGTATAATCTCGTATGGCTGTCCTAAACAAAAGGCTGTCCTAATCAAAGTTGCCAGTGCTCCCTAAATGTAATTCTCTACATGGTCGCTCCTCTTGTCCCAACTCTAAAAACAAAACTTGAAATCTCATCCTGTTTGCCTTCCGGGAATATCCATATGGCAGCGAAGCCCAGTCAGGCTCTGGAGCTTTCACGGTTTACTGCCTTGAACATTCTTGCATCTCCAGCTACCTTAGCCAGGAATGTGGACCGAAAGCCACAGAAAGTCCCCAGATTCTCTGTAGAAGGAAAAAAAAAAAAAAAAGAAAGCCTTCTGTGCCTTACCTTGTAGGCTGAAACTTCTTCCCAAGGACTAAGTCAGAAAGGAAGGACTGATTTCTTTAAGCAGGAGCACAGTCAGAGAGCAAGCAGGCAGGCAGCCGAATACACACTGCTCTATTCAATAAAACTCCAGACCGCCCTTCCTTGGCCCCTCCCAGAAGTCCATGCTAAGTGAACACATATTCCCTATGTTTATAGTCGGCAGGCGGTGGTATGCATTGTCCTGTCGTTTTTCTAATAGGCAGCCAATGACGACACCCCGGCCAAGGTGGATGCAGCCTGCCTGTGGAGATGCCTGTCATTCCCTAGGCATGCTCAGGAAATCACTCATCAGAAAACCCAAGACCTAAAAAGCTCTGAAACTGCCTGCCGGCTGCCAAAACCAGCCTGCTCCATGCCCTTTTTTGGTTATCCTTAGCAGGGCCTCTGGAAGTGGATCCATTGTCAGGAACAATCATAAGAAATGTTAATCTTGGAGAAAGAGGCTGTCTTGTAGAACACAAATGCAGCAATAAAAAGAAAGCACAGTCTCTGAAATAAAAAGTTAACAGATCCGTTTATTGGGGGTGGGGGTGGGGGTGGGGAAGGCTTCTTAACAGAGGGAGTCTTAATAGCATATTTCTTTACAAAGTTCTTGCACATACAAAATGAGTTTAAATTGTTATGTAATTCTAAAACCTGAAGTAGACAGGACCTGGGTCTGCTGTGCAGACTGAATTCTAGCCTGAAAGAGGCACAACTCCCCTAAATATGTCTACATGTGTTATAAAAGCAAGCAACTGAAGGGAAACCAAAAGCTTAGGTCTTTTTAAGCAGGTAATACCGGCCAAAGTAAACCTAGGGTCCTGCGGGCTTGGATATCCTCACTGGCTTCACTTTCCTCTCCTTACCTCTTTTGTTTCCTCAGATTTGGCCATGTGGAGATAGTACTAGAAATTGATACACATCAGAGAGGACATGAAGAGACCCACCACCTGCTTTGGCTGAGGTAGACAGATGTATACATCCCACAGAGGTGACATAATGTTCAGGTGACTTCTTGAAAGTGCTCCGACCAACTCTTCATCGGTAGCACGTGTTCCATAAGAGGGTCAGAATTAGGAGCTGCTAATGAGAAGAAGGTAACTGGCCCACACGCAGTCTTCTCCTTTTCAATATAGAATTCACTCAGTTAGTACTTAATTAAAATTGAAAACCCCTTTCTTGGAGCTCTTACTATTTGTCAGGCCTGAGGATCGGTGCAAGATCTATGTCTCATTGTTGTATGTTTGTAGACTGTTTCATCCCTGACCAAGAAGCTTCACGATATTTTTCCTGGTTAATTACAAGTCCAGAAGATTGGTCTTCAAAAATGTGAGGTTTTACTATATACCTTTCCCTATTTATGAAGATGTGACTTAGAAATGATCTCTGTTTAGGAAACATGATAGCAAACACTCAGTTGTAACTAAAGTTTGTGCCTCTTTCAGAACAGCTGGGAAGTGACCAAGTGACCAACCCATGTGGTCAGTTTCCTTCTTCAGCCTTCCAGCATTAACAAGTTACACAGAGGCATCCATATCAACTCTTTACACTCATCTCTTTCTTGAGAAGGCTGCTTTCCTCCCCTCTTCCTGACTGCTACTGCTGCAAAAGCCCAAAAAGCTGAGGCTGCTTCCCTCCCCTCTTCCTGACTGCTACTGCTGCAAAACTCCAAATAGCAGAGGCTCCCAGGCAGAGGGAGAGATGAGCTTCAGGCACCCAGCTTAGAACTAGGAATGCACTCTCCTACAGAGGAGAATAAATAATGGTTGGTGGGAAACGTACAGCCGATGTTACATTTCATGTACACTGTGGCACAAGCAGGCATTTGTGGAACACCACTGTTTATAAAATTGTTCCTGTGGGAAAACGTCTTCTGATCTCAAATAAATGATTTAGAAATAAATTTTCGGAACACAGCCAGTTTTGCTGATGGGGGTATCCCATGTCTAGATATGGTGGAAAGAGAATAATACTACATAGTCTGGTAAACTGCTGGTCTTGAACATATTGTAGGGCGGACATCAGGGAGTTTAGAAAACAACTCAATCGGTGATGTCTGTGCAAAGATATGACCTGTGTCCAGAGACGTTCCCGGTGCGTGCTCTCCGGGTGGTATCCTCCATAACTCAGCGAGGCCTGTTTGAAAGTGCTGTTTTCCATTGCCACTGCTGATTATATCCTAGGCCACACTCTCCCTGCTTGTATAAATGATGCCCTTTGGTGCAACAGCATCAGGGTATAATTTTAAAACCTATGAATAAAATAAATACCAGCTTTCCAGAGGAAAGAAAAGTTGTGTTACAAATGGGGAAAATATTATCAACAGGAAACACGGCAGGGACCTGCATTTTGCATGGCTTTTAGAAGATAAATGGCGAAATATTTTTGGGTTATATCTTTTGAAAAAAAAAAAGTATGTTTCCCTTGATAAATTCTGGCTATCTCATAAAATACACAACCTATTTTATGTATTTGAAATAGACTTGTGGAGAAACTAGATAGTTTGAAAAATAATTTAACAAATTTCATGTAGTGTACACCATGATATTGAACAATTCTTCTTTCTTTGTCTGTTTACTTTTTTAAAAACAATCAAGAATTTAAAAAGAAAGGAAGGAGAATAAAAAGAAAAAAAAAGATACATGTTGCTGAATCTCTGCCGTGGGAAATTTTACTTTCATAGTATTTAGTTTTACCAGAGGTCATTTGTAAACAGCCCTAAAAATACACGAGCTTTATATAGGAAATTTCTGAGAAATGTATTTCCCAGTTGGATCATCCCAGATAAAGGACTGCTTGTCTATCATAGGCTCTATCTACCTAATCAAACCATAATAAATTTAAAGAGACATCTGGAAATATCTGGATGATTCTTTATATTATTTTAGTTAACTGAGTGTTTGCTATCATGTAGATCCGTAGCAAGAAATTGTGTTTTGCTTGCACGTCAATTTTGGAAAAGTAAAAACAGGCCGTTTTTTAATCCAAAATTAGTTACTTCATTTAGTTCATAAAAAATATACCTCCTTCTAACTTAAAATGTCTATGTTATTGAATAGAAAAGAAGATCTGAAAATTTTAAAAGGCAGCAAAATACCCCTTGCCACATTCTTTTAGTTAAATAAAACCTTTGCAAACACCCAGGTTTATCAAACAATAAAAAAGGACTGGTGGAATCTTGATGTCAAAATTGGACAAACAAGTATCAATCACAATAGAGAATTTGGATTAAGTTCACTTGTGAACACAGATGAAAAAATTAGTAATTGAATCCAACAGTGTGGAAAAAATAGATAAGAGCAATGCATAGATGGTTTAAAATCTAAAAATCTACTGATATAGTGTACAACCTTAGCAGTTTAAAAGTAAAATAAAATAAATAAGAAAAGTAGAAAAAATGAAAGAGAAAGATCATCTCAAAAAGTGAATGGTACTTCATAAATTTAGTAATCACGTATAGAAAAAAATCTTCTTGGAAAACTAGAAATAAAATCTTTTTAAACATATTGAGAGGCATTTGCCGGAAATCTATAGCAAACTTCATGCTTAATAATAAAATGTTAAAAGCATTCCCATTAAAATAAATGAAAAGGCAAAGAGGACTACTATCTCTTCTACAACTAAAAAAATGTGCTGGATACCTGACCAAGACAAATAAATGGAAAACAGAGCCATTGGGATTAGAAAGAAAAATAAATGTCTTTATTTTCTGTATGATTATCTGTGTAGAGAATTCAAGGTATTTGTAAATATATTAGAACTAATAGAAGAGCTTAGCAAGATTGTTGGAATTAAGTTCAAGATGGAAAAACCGAGAGTTTCTGTAATCAGCCATCTCTAATTTTTAAATATAATGGAAAAAAATACCATTTATGATAACAAAAAGTGTTAATTATCTGGGAATAAATGTGCAAGAAAGTTAGAAAACTTGAGTTAAGGGCATGAAAAACTTGACTAAATGGTGAAATGGATCATCTTTATGAATGGAAAACCTAGAAGTTGTAAAGATACACATTCTCCTCAAAGTAATCCATGCATTCATTGTTCTAATTAAAATCTCCAAGTGGCATATTTTGTAGAACTTGACAAAACAATAGTAAAAATATTTTAAAAGTAAAGATCTAAGAATCGGCAAAGAGGTTTTTTATAAAGCATCACTGCCCTCCAGCCTGAGTGACTGAGACTCTGTCTCAAAAACAAAAAAAAGTTCATTTATTCTTTTATTCACTCACTGAACAAATATTTATTGAGTTTCTACCACATGCCAGGGCCTGTGCCAGATGTTGTGAACAAGATCATTTTGATGGAGGGAGTCAGATAAACACATTAGCTAATACGTGAATATATAATGTCAGGCAGTGGTAAGCACTATAAAAAGATAAGAAAGGGTAAAGTAATAGGGAGAAACAGGGATATCTTTTTTGAAGGTTTTCAACAGAAACATGAATAAAGTGAAGGAACAAGCAGTAAGACTACGTGATGGAAACGCCTTCCAAAGGCAGGACTGCAAGTGCATATTACAGAAACAGCAGGCCGGGTGTGGTGGTTCATGCCTGTAATCCCAGCACTTTGGGAGGCTGAGGTAGGTGAATCACCTGAGGTCAGGAGTTCAAGACCAGCCTGACCAACATGGAGAAATCTCATCTCTAATAAAAATACAAAATTAGCTGGGCATGGAGGCACATGCCTGTAATCCTAGCTTCTAGGAAGAGGTTGCAGTGAGTGGAGATCACACCATTGCACTCCAGCCTGGGCAACAAAAGCAACATTCTGTCTCAAAAAAATAAAAAAGCAACGAGTCCAGGGGACTTGGGAGGAGTGAGAGCCAATGGCCAGATCCGTCATCCAGGGGCTTCTAGCCACGGTAAGGACTGTGGAGTTTGTTCCAAGTAAGATGGAAGGTCACTGGAAGATTTTGAGCCAGGAAAAAAAAAATCACGGTGGCTACATCATCTAGAAAAGGAGCAAGATTGCCAGAGGTGGAAACAGGAGGTGATCACCCACTCCCAGGCGAGAGGTGCTTCGTGGGCTGGGGCAGCGGTGCTTGGGAGCTGAGAGAGCATTGAATTCTAGGACATGGAGATTCACTGACGGTTTGGATGAGAGCTGTGAGAAAAAGAGAGGAATCAAGAGTGTCTCCTGTTATGGTCTGAATAACAGAGCGAATGGGAGTGCTACTGAATAGAACGGGGACCCCCAGAGGGATCCCTGAGGGACGTTTGCAGGGAGGAGTGGAAATCACATTAGACATATTTCAGGCATGTTAAGATGACCATCAGACATTCAGTGGGAGTGAAGGTAGG